TGACATCCCTGTGGCATCTATACCAGTTGCTTATGTGAAAAGTAAAGGAAATTTTTCTGTAACAAGATGGTATTTTTACCCGGTTTGACAGAGAGCTCTTCATTGTATCTCTCCTTGTTTTTCTCTGTCACCCTCCTGCTTTCTTAATTGTGTATCCTTTTCCTTCCCTGAACCCACACTCCTGTTGATACCGTCCAGCTATCTCATTTTCTTCTTCCCTGGATGCTTCTGTTTCTGCCTGTCGAGCCTCATGCTAGGGGAGAGTAGTGCTATTATTGTATCTGGTAGTATTTTGATTGTAAATCTTTTAGAGGGTGTTTCTTAAGTAGTTGGGGCAGCAATCCAAGAGTCCTGGCATGAGAATGCCTTTAGACACGTGATTGCTTAGTTATAGAAAACTTGAATATAAAAAAATTCCTACAAATAGGTCTAAGTTTTCCTTTGTTAGTCCTCTAATTATACTGTGTACAGTAAACATCTGTGGGTGGTTATTACATCCTTTGTTGCTGTAGCCATTTCTGTTAAAAGCATGGTTTACAGGAAGAACAGTTTGGAATCTCCTCCAAATATAGCCAACCTTGAGGTACCCGCCTGTGACTCCATTGCAGTATGTTTACAGCAGAATTGATTTTGGCCCCTGGAAGTCAGAATCAAGAGTTCAGAAAAAAGTACCATAAAGAGAGTGTGTCAGAGCTCATCAGTGGAACTGCAGCATTATTCACCCTGTACTCTGGCCCACGGCAAAGCAGCCTTATCAGCTCTTCTCCCTGATTTAAAATGGGACATTTGCTAAGAATGGCTGTAGCACTCTACCCTGCAGGGACTTTGATTAAAATGGAAGCTTAAATTAGGAAATGTTAGAGATGTGATCTCAGAGGAAGGAGTTCTGTGCCGTGCAACTGTGTGGTTTGTGAGGAGTTGGGTTCTGGTACCATAGAAAGAAGGGGCACCTATACATGTGCATTGAGGATGCTTTGACACGCTGTAATTACAGCACATTGGAGCTCCTGGAGTGTGGTAATTACCACGTTCCAGCAAACACCAGCATCTCCTGTATCAGCATCCCTGCGGTGAAAAATGATGGCAAGGGTACTTTTAACTAAAGCTTGTTTGATGAGCTTTAGTTAAAGCACTCCTGCCACCATTTTTCAGTGCAGGGACACTGATACATGAGACTCTCCAGGCACTTTAATTAGAGTGCCTCTGAGAGCTGTGTATAAATGACCAAAAAAACTAGGATTGGTAGGTTGGGAGACAAATCTATCCCTAGTGAAGATATCAGGTCCGACTGCTGAACAGGTTTATTCAATGTCACTCCTTCCCATGTTGCCACAAAGACTGGATCTGTAGCAATTGTTAGGAAAAGGTTGTTCTAAGCAGAGGAGAATAGGCAAGAACTGGCCAGTTGACTCTATTTGCCGATCAGATTTTTAAAATCTGCATGCTTTAGGTTCAGTGACTGAGGGCCAGGTCAGGCACTAACTTCATGGGTGCCTTAGTTTTCACATCTGTTAAATATATATATAGCTTGTATCTGGCAGTGGGGTTAGGTGGCTTAAGCAATATATGTAGAGAGATTTGAGCTCCTCTACTGAAAGCTGCTGTAGAAGGGCAAAGCATTTTTCTCTTTGCTGACTTTGTGTGGTTTTCTCTCTCTCTAGTGTATTAGTCACTCACACAGATGCAGTAAAAATTTCAGATTTTGGCACATCTAAAGAACTCTGTGATAAAAGTACAAAAATGTCCTTTGCGGGAACCGTGGCTTGGATGGCCCCAGAGGTGATACGCAATGAGCCTGTCTCTGAAAAAGTGGATATCTGGTGAGTTGCACTGTTACTTTAATTGCTCATCTTTACCTTTCTTTCAGCCAGTGCAGTCTTCCTCGTGTTCCTATAACCAAAATTCTTCCTCACCATTAGGCTGTCTCATTGCTCTGTATGGAACTGTTTCTTTCTCCTGAGATCTGCTCAGCAGTAGAAGTGCTGGCAGTGAAGAGTGGAGTTAGGAAAGCAGCAAAAATTAAACATTTTTATTCATATGGTTAGAACCTCAACATCAAGGATGGACTCCAAACCACAGCTAGAGCCTGTGTCTTTATGATCTTGTATGGCTTCCAGTGACTTGGGCAGAAACCCATGGGTTTCCTGTCCTGTGCATGATGGCCTCTCCCATCCTACTCAGTGTCCGTCTGGAGGAATAGAGCAGACACTCTGGAAGAGTGTTTGCTCTATTTGGGGCTGTTCTAGACAATGGGTGCTCAACCCCCAGCCCATGGGCCAGATCCACCCCACAGTGTCATGCCATCCAGCCTGCCAGACTCCTCATGGGTCTGAAAACTTGGTGGTGGGTTAGTGGTGGCAGTGTTAATTGATGCCCCCTTGCTCCCAGTTTTCTGGACCTGCAGCTGGATAATATGGCCCTGCCAACTTGACTGGACACACAGGACACCATAAAGTGTGATCTGAGTGGCACAAGGTGGATATGGGCAGTGTGGGGCCTAATCTGGGCACTGTGAGGCTGGGCACAGGTGGTGACCCCATGGATCTGGCCCATGGACTGGCCCTGTGCCATTTATCTGGCCCATGGAGCCAAAAGATTGAGCACCACTACTCTAAATAGTAGTTTCTGGTTCTTCTTTCCACTGATAAGAGGGCAAAGAAACAGGGCTGCTTGGTCCTTTAATAGCAGGGAGTGGGGGCTGGTACCCACACCCTTTCCTCAACAGGACTTTTTATTGTAGTGTTTGAGAAGGATTACCATTATCACCAGTCTCCTTGTGTTACTTGCCTTCAGTGGCTCCTGACTTGCCCCTGAAGTCTAGCTGCTTCCTTCTTGCTGCATAGTGGACTTGAGACATTCCAGTGAGTAATGCCTGCCCACTGCTCTGTTCCCTTTGTCAGGGTCCCCTGTGTGCCAGTTGTGCAAGCTGGGCATCTACTGTGCTGGCAGCAGGGTGAGGACTGCTTCTAGGACCTCAGAGTAGTCTCCTTCCCACGCAGAAACTGCATCATGTCACAATGCCTGCAGGCGAGTTTGGGCCAGGGAAGTAAAACACTCTTATGGGAACTCATAATGGTGTCTTTTGTCCCGCGGCTCCGGGAAGGGTGTTGGCACCAGGCGACATTTCTCTGTGTTGATGCCACTCTCACCTCCACTCTCCAGCTCTTACTTAAGGGGACAATAACTCCTGGACCTGGTTTCTGCAGGGTTGTCCTGTTACCTGGATTATAGGTGAACGAGTAGGCTGCCTAGTCATAAAAGGCAAGAGATAGGTTTTCAGTCTTTTTTTTGCTTGCATCTTGAAACAGAAGCAAAGACTTGGAGATCAGTGTTTATCTGGCTTCCTGTAACAGCACAACAGAAATCCTTACCTACTCCAGCTGGGGAAAGAGGGTGGCATCAGGTTGTCTTGAATTTGCTGAGGTCTCAAAATTCCCCTCCAGTCTATGCCTTGTATTTATAGATGGCTTGTTCTGATATTATAATAAACATTATGATACTAATGAACATAACAATCAGCTCTGGTCAGGTCTCATCTGGGTACTGTATGCTGTTCTGGGCTCTGCATTTTAAAAAGAGATGTGGATAAGTTGGGGAGGGTTCACAGGCAGGAAGCAAACATGATAAAGGACTTGGAAAGCAAGTCCTATGAGGCCAGGGCTGAAGGAGCTGGGCATGTTCTAATGTCATGATAAATTCAGGATGTGCAGCCAAGACAAAAGTATTTTTTAAATCTATTGGATGCCTGTTCCTGCAACATTTGCAGAAGATGGCAGTCTTGTTGTGTGAATGTAAAACAGTCAAAATTATTTCTTAGGGGCCCACTCTTACTTGTCTCAACAGCCTGTTGCTGTTGTTGAAGCAGTGCTGACCAGAGCTGATCAAAAGTGTTTGAATGGAAGAGCTTTCATCTGAAAACATTGGTTGGATGGAATGGGTACATTTCCTAGGATGGGGACAGCACTTCTGATGGAACTAGGCGGGTGTTTTCCTCACAGCCAGCCAACCCACTGGGACCTCCACAGCCCTGCAGCCCCCTTATCACAACAAAATCTGGAGGATTTATCTTGTTCTGATTGACAATAAGAAGAAAAAAAATGTTTTTGAAAACCTGATGACATCCTTGAGCTAGAAATGCCTTTGTCCAGGCCATCTCTAGTCCAGAAATGCCAAGCACATTCAGGTCCTTTCTTTCTCTTGACTTCATTCTGTTCATTAGCTAACAATGGTTCCATGTGCCATAGTCCAAAATGTCCTCCCACCTTTTACCCAGTTTGTGTCACCTAAGAGCCAGATGACCCCATAGAGATGGTGTCCATCACAGGTGTGCAGAAATGTATGGAAAAGGAGGAAGGAGGGGATAATTTGTGGGTGCTATAGCTTCTGGGAGAGGATAATTTGTGGGTTTTAAACTACCTGTCTGGTCTGTATCACATTTCTTCATCTTAGGTTCATTCTGACTTCTGGCAGGTTCACATGGTGATTGCTTTTCTTCAGCAATCAAATATCTTCCTTTGGTTTTTGTTTGTACTGACTATTTTGGCATCAGTTTGCCTTTCCATGAGCCTCTGCACTTGGTAGGTAGACAGCAGTAATTGCTTGTTGCTTCTCCTGAGTCATGACCTGTGTCTAGACCAGTGGATTCACTTCAGGAGAGAGGCAAAATTTTCTTGCCTGTAATTTTCATTTCCTGTGTTGTAGATTCTCCATCCTGCATAGACTGTCTTTATGCTGTGTGTAGGATTATCACTCATCATCTTTCTTTCAGGTTAGGCCAAGGGTGAATGTCAGATGGTATCTGAAATGTTCAGATATTGACACTCTTGCAGTCGATGCATTTTGTTCCTTCATTTCTTTATGTTGTGTTGTAGTAGTTTTGTGTCTCCTTAGCTTTGGAACGGCTGTGGATAGAATGGGTGTTCAGCACATTGCCAGAAGAGGGAGTGTCGGCTATTAAAAATCCAAAACAAATACTAAAGTCAAACCCTGCTTCGTCCAGGCACCTTGACAGGCATACCTGTGAATTCAGACTTTGAGCAGAGCATCTACACTAGGAGTAATTCAAATTTTCCCTAGGAAAACAAACTTTATCTTTTAGTTTACTGGAGCTGGAAAAACGATGAACTTCCCTTGTATTTGATTCACACCAAAGAGCCTCTAGCTCCTATTTCACTTTGAGATAAAAGCCCTGAAAGGAAAAGGGTTTGGATTTAGGTTTTCAACAGGGGGTGAGAGTTAAAACTGATGTGGCTGTGCATAAAATGCCGGGGCACAGGGCAGGAAGAGAGATTGCACAAGGTATGAAATACCCTTTTGAGACTATCCTTCTATCTGGTTACAAGCTTTTACTGTTGCTAGTTTTGAATCCGTTTGCCTTTTACAGTCAGGCACCTGTTACCATTGCGTTAAATGAGCAGAAAATAGCTGAATCTGTTGGAACTTTTTTCATGAAACATATGATTCAAGTGTTTTGTCTCTTCTGGTTTGTCCACTTGTTTCTGTGACAGGTCGTTTGGCGTGGTTTTGTGGGAGCTGCTTACAGGAGAGATTCCCTACAAGGATGTGGACTCCTCAGCCATCATCTGGGGTGTGGGCAGTAACAGCCTGCACCTTCCTGTCCCTTCCACCTGTCCAGATGGGTTCAAAATCCTCATGAAGCAGACATGGTAAGAGCCTCATCCCACTCACAATCATGCAGCTCTGTCACATTTCCTTTAAGCAGATTGGTTGTTCTCCAGCTAGGCATGTCAGATGTTTGCAGGAAGCATGCAGTTGCCATTGATGTTTGTGGGCTGAGTGTTGAGAGAGAGGAAACTCTGTAAGGGAAGGAGCAGAGGCAGCAGGGCTTGAGCAAGACCAGGAGACATCAGGATTGAATTGTCCAAGAGCTGTGTTACTCTCTCCAGTTATTGCATTACTGTGTCCAGTTTTGGTCCCCCCACTACAGAAAGGACGTGGACAAGTTGGAGAGAATCCAACAGAGGGCGACAAAAATGGTTCAGGGGCTGGGGGACATGACTTGTGAGGAGAGGCT